CCCTTTCTCATTAGGTAATCATGTGTGGATAAAGGATGGGAGTATAACCCCTCTAAAGCCACAATGGAAAGGACCTCAGACCTGATCCTGACCAGTCCCACAGCCGTGAAGATAGAGGAAATCCCAGCCTGAATCCACCACAGCCGTGTAAAAATCAGCAGCAGCTGAGACTTGGACCAAGGCAAGGACTGCAGAATCACCTTAAGAAGGACAATAAGCCTTGCTCCAGCCACATCCCAGAAGCTGGCTGGTCCACTCATGGCCGAAGCATGAGGAGCTTCATCGTGGGACTTGTTCTTCTTAATATTTGGACTTGTACAGTAGGAACATTAACTAATTTTAAAGAATGCCCTCAGTATGTACACCAGGTAGGACGTAAAACTTACTGCCATTCTTTTGTCCTGCAGTTCTTATAAATGTACAGGGACACAGAAGGGAACCTGTTTATATAATGGTACTCAATATAAGGTACGTAATCCATGAGATGGACAGGTAGCTATGTCGTAGGCATCATTAAGCCCTCTTCCTTTCTATTATCTGTTAAGACATGTGGGCTGTTAATGTATTCAGTCTACTCTGCTAGGGAGAAAAGAAACCTAAAAATAGAAGATTGGACAAATGATAAGTGGCCACCGGAGAAAATTATTGAATATTATGGGCTGGCCACATGGGCTGAGGATGGCTCATGGGGATACCGGACCCCTGTTTACATGCCCAACCGGATCATCTGGTTGCAAGCTGTTTTGGAAATACTCACTAATGAAACGGGCAAAGCTCTGCCCCTCTTAGCCTGACAAGGAACTCAAATGAGAAACACGATTTATCAGAACTGGCTGGCCCTAGATTATTTGCTAGCAGCTGAAGGAGGAGTCTGTGGAAAATTCAATCTAAGCAACTGCTGTCTGCACGTGGATGACCAGGGTCAAGCAGTAGAAGATATTGTGCGAGACATGACCAAACTGGCACACGTGCCTGTACAGGTGTGGCACGGATTTAACCCTGAGTCCTTATTTGAAGATTGGTTCTCATCCTTAGGAGGATTCAAAACCCTCATCATAAGTGTTCTAATAATAATAGGTGTTTGTTTGCTGCTCCCTTGTCTACTCCCCCTGTTCCTTCAGATGATTAGCGGGTTCATCACTACTGTAGTTAGCCAAAAAATGACATCACAAGTATATTATATGTAACATTATCAGTCAGTTTCTTCGGAAAATCTGGAAAGTGAGAATGAAAGCGAGACCTCTCACTGATATTATAAAATGGTGAGGGTCTCAAAGGAGGTGGGGGTGAGGAAGGAGACCCAGGCATCTGGAATTCCCTCCCCCTCTGTCATCCACTGTGCATCTCAATAGAAGAGAGAGCAGGCCAGCTGGAGCCTCCTGAATCTCCTTCCTGAAAATAACATGCTTGGTCTTGGGGAAATCTGTTTCCCACAGCCGTTCCTGCTACAGTATCAATTGCAGAGGTGGTAGTAAATATTATAGATCTATTTTAAAGTATTACTGAACTGATAATAACCCATAATAATATGGTAGCTGATAGTGATAGGGACAGGAAAGAGATTCCAGGAAGAAAAGGGCCGGGCCCCTCGCAAGAGCCTTGCCCTCAAGCCTGGATCTGTGGTCCAAAGTGAGAACCTTATATCCCTGTTTTTCACTTAAATGTTGCCTTTTGCAAAACCATCCCTGGCCTACCCTACCCTCATCCTGTACCCATAAAAACCGCAGGCTCCACTGTCAAAGAGCAGAGAAGGAGGGAAAAGAAGAAGCAGCCAGACATCAAAGAGAAGCTACTTGACTTCAGAGGGATGGCTTGATAGCAAGACTTCAGAGAAGAGTCCTGCTGAGGATGGCTGGACTCCATCGGAATATCACCTTCCCACTCCATCTCTTTTCTGGCACCTCTTCCTACTGAGAGCCACTTTCATCAGCAATAAAATCCTCCACATTCACCACCCCTCAATTTGTTCGTGCAAACTCATTCCTCCTGGATGCCAGACAACGACTCGGGTGCAGGTGCAAAAGGCTGCCACATTGCCCCTCCACTGAGCTGTCAACACTTAAGCCATCTGCAGCAGCAAACTTAAAAGAGTGCACTGTAACAAATGTCCTCTTGGTCTTCAGGGGTCGCTGGTACCCGCTAGATGCTTCTGTGGGGCCGCACAGAGTTTTGCTCCTGTGGGTGCCCAAAAGCACTCACTCTGGCTTCTGCACCCACTCACCTGTGTATTCCCCCTCCTGTCAGGGGTTGAGACCTGCAGGCTGAGTAAGCAAGGCACCCCTGTCGCAAGGACTGTGAAGTGGTCAAGGAAAGTGTCCTGTTACATCAGGATTTTGTGTGTCCTCTGTGTTCGCTTTTCATCTGAACAATAAGAGTGGATGCTGAGGGTGAAAGAGATCAGCTGTGTTGGATATTCTGTTTGTTCTTATAGACCTCCTCTTCACCTTTTTAATCCCTTTTCAGTGCCTCGGGATGCTGACTCTTATGTTCAATATCCCTGGACACTAATGTCCTGAAGCTCTAGGCACTTTTGTGCTAATAGGAAGAATAAGCAAAGATTAAAAGGTGGGAGAATCCTTCCCTACAGCACTAGGAAATGGTTCTCACTGAGTGTACCTCCAGAGAGGCAGCCTTCATCAGCCGTAGTTTCTGCTGCTTCAGCTAATTGCTACCAGTATTGTTCTCTCAGGCTTCCCACGGTAGCTACCCCTGGGGTATTTCACTATCCCATTTGGTTTCCTTTGGTCTTATCTACATCTTGCAAATTGTCCCATTATTTTATCTTCTTAAATTTTCCTTTTAACGTATAACCTTTTTTATTGTTTTTGGATCCCAGGTGTTTCTTTTTTGTAAGAGTATATCATGGCCACCGTGGTCTCTCAACTTTTAAATTATGTAACGTGAAGATGTGTGTCTCTTAACTTTTTACCCCTGTGCACTTTTCTTCACCTATCTTTATTTATTTCCCTTTTTTCCATTATAACAACCCCCAGAAAATACATAATTTAGGTAATGGATAATTTATCACTTATGTTTAATATTGGAAGATATTTGTAGTTGATATTTGCAGATCATCTCTTAGTATTCAACTGGAATGAAAATTAATATAGGTTGATTTCATATCTTGTGTGCCGCAATAAACATGGGAGTGCAGGTATCTGCAGTATATATACACAATGGAATATTACTCGGCCATAAAAAGGGATTTGTCATTTGCAGAAACATGAGTGGAACTCAAGGTCATCATGTTAACTCAAATAAGCCAGGCACAGAAGGACAAATATCACATCTTCTCACTCATGTGAGGGTTAAAAGAATGAATCTCGTGGAGAGTAGAATGGTGGTTACCAGAGGCTTGGCAAGGGGTTGTGGGGAATAAAGACAAGTTGGTTGGGTACAAAAATACAGTTAGGTAGAAGGAACAAGTTCTAGTATTTGACAGTACAGTGGGAAAACTATTGTTAACAATAATTTATTGTATATTTCAAAATAGCTAAAAGAGAATTGTAGCATTCCCAACAGAAGGAAAAGGTAAGTATTTGAGGGAATGAATACACTTATTACCCTGATTTGGTCATTGCACACTGTATTCAGGTTTCAAAATATCACATATACCTCTAAAATCTATACAACTATTATATATCAATAACAAATTTTTTAAAAAACTGATACAGGCTGTGAAGGGCAAACCATGAAATAATCTCAGATCTCAACTTATTCATATGGATATAAATATTTTAGCTGGCTCTAAACTAAGGATTTTGTATGAGGTAATAGTTATCAAATATTTTTATCAAACAAGTGTACCTTGCAAACAGGACTTTTAGATTTTTCAGTTATTACCCCTTACCATTCATCATACTCTTTATCTTCTAGTGATTGATGAAACAACCTTCCACATGAAAAAACAGAGCAATATAACACAGAACAGGGCTCTACCTGTGGAGTGGTCAGTTTTCATCCTTTTATAAACAAAAAGAATATTATAAACAAATATTTATATACAAACATCTGACCCGCCTAGGAAAAATAGAGGGCTAGTCTTTCCCACCAGGAGAGGCATTAGAGCTTGTGCATGTATTTGAACAAGGCAGCCAGAGTCTTTGGTCAAGTCTCAACTCTACCACTCACCAACTGTGTGACGTTAGATACAAACTTAACCACTTCGCAGATGGGCGCAGTGGCTCACACCTGTAATCCCAGAGCTTTGGGAGGCCAAGTTGGGGGGATCACGAGGTCAGGAGTTCGAGACCAGCCTGATCAATATGATGAACCCCTGTCTGTACTAAAAAATACAAAAATTAGCCAGATGTGGTGGCCCGTGCCTGTAGTCCCAGCTATTCGGGAGGCTGAGGCAGGAGAATTGCTTGAATTCTTGGAGGTGGAAGTTACAGTGAGCCAAGATGCCACTGCACTCCAGCCTGGGTGACTGAGTGAGACTCTCTCAAGAGAAACACACACAAAAAAACAGAAAACAGAAAAAGCCTTAACCACTTTGCAGCTCACTTCTCTACCTGTAAAATAAGAGTGATAATAATGGTACCTGGTATAGAGAGTTGTAAAGATAAAACCAACATTGGTAAAGTGCATAGGATGAAGTAATCATGGTTTGAATATATATTCCTTTAAATTTTGCTGCCAATATTTCCATGGTAATATTCTCAGATATATTTTGATAGCTTTTTATTTAAGTATCAGGAGAAAATCTATTATTGTTTTAATTAAATTGAAATTGGATTTTTTTGATATATTTAGGCAAATTTAATTTCTTTTTTTTTTTTTTACAGTATTGAGGCTTCTAATCTGAAGGAATGTTTTTCTATTTTTTTCTTTTCTTCAATAGCTTTAGTCTTTTTGTTCATTTTGGTTGTGCAAATATCTAGTTAATTTGTATCTGTTATATTTTCCTAGTTACTTTTTAGTAGCACTTATAAAGGGAGTCTTTCATTTTTCCTGTCTATCCAAACATAATAAAGCAATTAGTTTTTGATTTTCAAAAATCTTTATGCATTCTCTTTTATACGTATAATAATAATAATACCTAACCATTTTCTATGATTTACATGAAGAAATGCCAAGAAGAATTTTAAAGTAAGATTTACTAATAAAAATTAGAAAACATACTCAAAAACAGTCCTCTCCACCCCCTCACTTCCACTTGCATACTTGATCAAGAAATGAAATAAAAAATATTAAGACTATCGAGTCAAGCTCATAAGACACAAATCTGGACTTTGGAGACTCAGCTCCTTCCCGCTTTTGGTAGCTTAGGTGAGGAGGAGAGCAAATGGATCGAGTCAGTCTGTAGAGAGATAGCAAGGCTGATTATAGTTTTCCTGGCCTGCAAAGCTGTTCCCAGAGCCCTCAGTATACAGACCTTGGCCATCAGTATACATGCTCCCTGGTGGGGGTTTCTGGGCCTCAAATCCCTTAATATCTAGGCTGGTGCTAAAGTAATTTCGTAAACTTTTAATGGCAAAAACCACAATTACTTTTGCGCCAGCCTAAATATTGTTATTTAGAGAAACTACGCATTCCCTAGCTCTCTTAGGGAAGCCTACAGATAGGTAACATGGCAAAGGAATGACATTAACTGTCTCATTCTCCTTGGGAGTGCTCTCCACATGTTCAGTGTCCCAGTGAAGAGAACCTTTCTAACAGGACCTTCATCATGATACATAAGGAATATCTATGCCAGGCCACATCTGCAGATTAGTGAGTCTCTGAGAACTGCGTCTTTTCTGCTATTTTTCTGCTTGAAAGTTTTTCACCAGTAAGTCCTGCACTATGTTTGCACCATGTAGTGCTAGTTATTTGTGTACTTTTGCATGACACTAGTAATATTATCCAAACAAAATTTCAAAAACCACTTTCTGTAGTTGGTAAATATATAGAAATGAGAGAAAAAAGAAAGAAATATGAGGAAGAAAGATGTTATCTGTTGCAATAGTTAAATGTTCTTAACTGAAGCCACAGATGAGATGTGACTCATTTGCAGACATACCAGTGATTGGTACAGTAGATTTAGAAACAGTTTAAACTTGCAAGCTTAAGCTTCCATTTATAAAGAGAAGTTTAAAATCATAGGTCCTGTTTAACATTCAGCTCTGTTAACTTACTCTCATCTCTTTGTTTTTTTACACTTTGTCAAGATTTCTTCACGTATTTATCAATGTCTGAAGAAGTTACTTATGCAGATCTTCAATTCCAGAACTCCACTGAGACAGAAAATATCCGAGACATTGACAAACTTGGGGGAAAAGGTAAGATTTTGAGTTATGAATGTGTTGTACAGTTGTATAATAGAAGTAGTTTCAGCCCTGCATCTTCAGTATTAGTGATATAGTTATCATTCAACTTAAATTTTCAATAAGTCTCCTATATCTAAGCAAAGGAACCAAAGGTATCTAAACAAAATGATTAGGAAAAAAGGTTTCTGCAAAAACACTTATCAGTGCATTGAACACTCAATCTTTTATATTTTTGAAATTTTTATTATCACACTCAAGATAATTGGGACATAATTTTTCAAATGATTGAGTTGTGTAAAGATTTTATTTCTTTATAAGATGAAGCCATGGAACAAGGAATGTGTTCAGGATTTCTCATGTGTTTCTTTCTTTTTTTTTTTTTTTAATAAGAAAATGCTTTGTATATGTGTGTCAAAAAGAAGGAAAGACAGACAGACAGGTAGCCAGAGTGACCTGTTAAGGATTCCATTTGACTGTCTACCAAACTCGACATATATCATCCTAAAATTTCTCCTACTTCTTTTGGAGATTTTTTACTAACTTACTAAAAAATAAAAGATGCTAAGTTAAATGAAGTGAATCATTAAGGAATAAAGGAGGAAAAGAGATAAAGAAATATCAGAAGACAAAATATATTCACAATATTCAAAATCACACTATGTCAGGAAGCTTTGTATTTTTCAATCTAAACTTAAATCATGAAATAAGTGAACCATCTGTGTTGACTTTCATCTTTCACTTCAACAAAACTCTACTCTTCATCTTACTCAGAATCCTGTAGTTTTACTATATGTATGGTTCTTACCTTCTGGCTCCTGGCTTTTGGAGTGCAATCTGCCCTAGTGAATCCATAGTTGAAATCAATGTGTTTGAGCTAAAAATAACTTAAATAGTGATAATGGAGAACACACAGAATACAACATCTATAATATTCTAGCATTGCTATAAACAAATTTCATTGTTAAATCTTGGATCCATTTATTATGAGCATGGTAAATCTTGAGAAAGGCTCGCAGATTAATTTTGTGGGCTTTTTTAACAATGTAACTTTTTTAGAAAGAAGAAGGGTCTAAGAATTTTACACCACTTTCTGTCTTTAGTTCCTTGTTTGTATTTCTTCTTTTACATGCTGAAAGAGGATGGCCATAGTGTGAGCTTCATAGTACCAGCAATTGCCCTTTAACTGTCCTCTCACACCCTTTCCCACCTCCTTTCCTGCCAATCCAAATTATTTTAAGTTCCCACCACAAGAATTCCTTTAATTCATAGAGATGTTGAATCCATGTCTTCTTCATGTTCTTAACTTCATCTAATTTTCTCATTAACCAGCTTAGAATCTATGTACACAATTTCACATTGTATTATGTAATGTCCACACTTAGTCTCTTACACTTCCCCTCTCTAATGTGCTTTTCTTTTTCCCCACTAAAAACTCTAGTTCTGACTAGGTGCAGTGGCTCAACCCATAGTCCTAGCACTTTGAGAGGCCAAGATGAGAGGATTATTTGAGGCCAGGAGTTTGAGACCAGCCTGGGCAAAGTAGAGAGATGCCATTTCTATAAAAAGAGATTTTTTTCCCCTTAGGGATCCCAATATTTTATTTGCATACCATTCTTGCATAGATCATCCCTTAGGATGCATCAACATCATTTCAGAAAAAAAAAAAAAAAAAACAAACCTAAGAGAATACTGTCTTCTACATTCTCATTAAATCCCATTTGGGCTGTTATCCTGAGTTCCATTCCCTTTCTTACTGGGGGGCAGGTAGCTCTGTCCCACCGGATTTTTGGCTTTCTTGGGTCAGCCAGTGCTTCTGCCTAGATCTATGCTGACAGCCGTGGCACTGGCCAAAGTTACTGTTTGCCCTGTTCAGGCAGCTCGCTAAGGCTTTTCAGCCCAGCGAAGATCTCCTGTTCTGTGGGTTGTAGAGGGCTTGAGTGGAGCACTATATCTGAATCAGAGTCTCAGAAGGGGAGATCCCCCAGTCCTCTGGTCGGTTGCATGCTCCTTCTGGGTAGGGCAGTGCTCCACATTGCAGCAACTTGCCCTATTTGGTTTATACCCACTGTCCAACCAGGCCCACAAAATGAACCTACCTCATTTGGAATTGTGGAGATCACTCGGCTTCTGAGTCTCTCTCGCTGGGAGCTGCTTTCTGGAGCTGCCTCTTATTCAGCCATCTTGGGATCCTTGAACTCATCATTTTTTACGGCAGCATAGTATTCCATGTTGTATATGTGCCACATTTTCCTTGTCCAGTCTATCATCAAAGGGCATTTGGGTTCGTCCTAGGTCTTTGCTATTGTAAACAGTGCTGCAATGAACATACATCTTTATAATAGAATGATTTATAATCCTTTGGATATATACCCAGTAATGGGATTGCTGGGTCAAATGGAATTTCTATTTCTAGGTCCTTGAGGAATCGCCACACTGTCTTCCACAATGGTTGAACTAATTTACACTCTCACCAACAGGGTAAAAGTGTCCTTATTTCTCCAAATCCTCTCCAGAATCTGTTGTCTCCAGATTTTTTAATGATAGCCATTCTAATTGGTGTGAGATGCTATCTCAATGTGGTTTTGATTTGCATTTCTCTAACGACCAGTGATGATGAGCATTTTTTCATATGTTTGTTGGCCTCATGTATGTCTTCTTTTGAAAAGTGTCTGTTCATATCCTTCACCTACTTTTGAATGGCTTTTTTTTTTTTTGTAAATCGGTTTTAGTTCTTTGTAGATTCTGGATATTAGTCCTTTGTCAGATGGGTAGATTGCAAAAATTTTTTCCCATTCTGTTAGTTGCTGGTTCACTCTACTGATTGTTTCCTTTGCTGTACAGAAGCTCTGTAGTTTACTTAGATACCATTTGTCTATTTTGGCTTTTGCTGCCAATGCTTTTGGTGTTTTAGCCATGAAGTCCTTGCCTGTGCCTATGTCCAAAATTTTTTTTAAATATTAACTGGGCACCGATAGTCTTAGCTGCTTGGGAAGCTGAGGATAGAGGATTACTTGAGTCCAAGAGTTGGAGGCTGCAGTGAACTATGATCAGGCCACTATATTTCAGTCTGGGTGGTACAGCCAGATCCTGTCCCAAAGACATTTCAAAGAGACAGCCTATCTTGTTTATTCTGCACCTAAACTCTCAGAATCACCTGAGGGATATGTAAACAACTGAAATGGTTTTTCCTGACATGCCACAATTGTCTATTCAAGCAACAACTACTCATATTGGCTTCTCTGTTAATTTCCAGTTACTCACTTTTCCCAAATTTGTACAAAGTGTACTATATCTAGATTGATTCGTGTTCTCCATTCTCTATTATAAATTCTGTTTTTGTTCTCTGTTTTTTGAATTAGTCTACCAGTTAACAGCTTCTCATGCCAGAATCAATTTACATACAAAACAAATCAGTGATTTTGACTTATTCTTGACATGCTCTTCAAAATATTTTTAAAATATCCTTGAATGTCTAACAAATCCATTCCTTTCCAATAGGCATATTAGGAAATAAAAGTAAAATGAATGAATGAATGAATGAGTAAATAATTGAAATGAAAGTGTATACCAAGTTTAGACCTCCCTGTTAATTTTGCTTTCCACAGCAGCTCCCGCTCCCTCTCGTGTATGGCGCCCAGCAGCCTTGTTTCTGACTCTTCTGTGCCTTCTCCTGCTCATTGCGTTGGGAGTCTTGGGAAGCACATGTATGTACTAGCCCTGTTTCAGTTAAAAGAGAAAGTATCTAGAATTTGAAATATTTAACAACAAATGTTTATTCCTTGAGTGGAAGATTTGTAATAATGATAGGTGATATGCCCACAAGGAGGACTTACTTACAATGTGGAACGTAGTGTCTTTCCCTTACTCCTGTAATGGCTTTACCTACCCCTTTAATCTTTATACTACTTCTGCAAATGATAAAGGATGATGGTTCTATTGAGAGTTTATAATATTTTGTCATTTTTTAATGTGAAGTTTACATAACTTTGAAGATAGAAATGGAAAAAGTGAATGAACTACAAAATATCAATGAAGAGCTTCAGAGAAATGTTTCTCTACAACTGATGAGTAACATGAATAGCTCCAACAAGATCAGGAACCTCTCCACCACACTGCAAACAACAGCCACCAAATTATGTCGTGAGCTATATAGAGAAAAAAAAGGTATTCCTGAATTCTCTTGGTGTTATTTATTGGACAATAAACTAAATCGCTGAGACTCTTAAGAATCATTTTATAATTAGCTAGCAGCCTTTTCCTAGGGAGTCATAATTTGGGGGAAGGAATTACATGTGGTTGATAGAGAATTCATTTCCTTGCAGTTAGAAGAAAGAAAGAGTAATAATAATAGGGCCCCAAATTATCGGGAGATAACAGTTACATGATAAAATGTTAGAACAGGTTCTCTAATCTGTCACTATAATTATTCTGGGCAATGAGGTTAATAAAAGATAGGGAGGAAGTGACACCTCTTTACAGGTGACTTCATTCTTAAATTTCAGTCAGTGATGGATAACAAAGTCCACAAGAAAAAAATAAATTGAGATGTCACCTTCAGGATCAGGGGAAGTTGGTCTTATAATATCTCCATAAGTTTCTATAGTCATGGTTGCTAAAACATATTTCTTTTGCTCCTGAGAAACCTCAAAGTTTCACTATACAGAATATTTCCTGTAATTTGTGTTTGTTGTCATTAAAGAATACAAAAAATAGGAAAGAGTGATTGATATAGGAAGATACACTTGAATCCCAGAGCTTAATTTGAAATTTTTTTGTTTAAGCTATGTGTCTGACACATTATGATGGCATATAGGGAACTAGAATACAGGATTCACTTACTTCCCCTTTGATGTAAAAAGAAGAAACAGCATGTAATCCCAGCTACTTGCGTGGCCGAGGGGAGAGTCACTTGAATCCAGGATATGGAGGCTGCAGTGAGCTGAGACTGCGCCACTACACCCCAGCTTGGGGAAGAGAGCAAGAGCCTGTCTCAAGAAAGAGAGAAAGAAAGAAAGAGAGAAAGAGAGAAAGAGAGAGAGAGAAAGAAAGAAGAAAGAAAGAAAGAAAGAAAGAAAGAAAGAAAGAAAGAAAGAAAGAAAGAAAGAAAGAAAGAAAGAAAGAGAAAGAATCAACAGCAAATGTGGAGAATGTCACATAGAGAGGAAAGGAAATAATAAGAATTATTAATACTATTAATAAAACCCAAATAAAACTATGTTCTTCTTTCAGAGCACAATTGTAAGCCTTGTCCAGAGAGATGGGTGTGGCATGAGGACAGCTGTTATTTCCTAAGTGATGATTCCAAAACCTGGCAGGAGAGTCGAATGGCCTGTGCTGCTCAGAATGCCAGCCTGTTGAAGATTAACAATAAAAGTGCATTGGTAAAGCCCAAGTGTTTCTACCATCATGGGCTAGAGAGGGGCGTGGCATGTTAGAGAAGACCTCAATCAACCAACTCATGATTCTGGTTTATTTTATTTGGGGTGAGAAGTGACTGGAACTTTGTACATTTATCTCAAGATATCATAGGCAAGGCAAAACATATAAAACCTTAGCTTAGGACCTTAGCATAAGAGGCATATTACTAGCTGACAGGTAGATGAGTAGACACAGGGCGCGCAGAATTTATAGGTCTGTATGTATTTCCAAATTAGAATCTGGAATCAAATCTCAGAACGTAATTTATAAACATTAAAATCAGGATGCAGAGATTATTCCTGAGTGTTACTACTTCCATAAAAATGACTTTGGAGGATTTGTTTTGTTTCTACCATTTTGTATTTTTTAATTCACTAAGAGAAATAGACAAGTTATAGTAGGCTAGCATAAAATATGTGTAAACAAGAAGAGCTGGAGGAAGCTGACACAGCCAAGTGTCAAACAGATGTATTGCACTGAGTCCCTGAGTCTCAGGAAAAACGTGTTTTCTAGTAGCTTTATTGATTTATTCATTTTCTTAATTTTTCTTGTCTAGTGTTTCCATGTTACACTTATTTTATATAGCATTTTTGGTCTCTCAAATAATAATCATATATTTTTAATCAAAATTCCATTTTCTAAAAGTCTCTGCTTCCCCACAATAAGAAACTTTTGTTATACTTTAGAAGAGAGAGAAATCAATCCAAAATCTCTTCCTCATCAGATTATTCTCAAGTGACCCATTCATAGTTACTCTAAAAAAGGTCTTTTTAAAGTGTGGAATAAGAAAAAATACCTGTTATTTGGCTACAAAATTCTGGACTGGTTCTGAATTCTGTTTTATAACCACTCACATCTGAGTCTGTGGCATTTTTTCCTACTCTTTCTGTTTCTATTAACTCTTGTTGGTAGCCATTAGCCACCTCCTTTGCCCCTGGACAATGTTTACAGCTCAAATTTTTGAATCCTGAACGTGTCATTGTGAACTTTTCAATGACTGTAAATTAAGGTTATATGTGGATTAGTAGGGCCTCTATTCTTGTGAGACCAGCAATGATAATATTTTTTTAAATGTTGAAATTTTATAGTAAGGAGTACTTTCTTTCAATTTCTTTTAGTGGCATTTAATAGTAGTATGCAATGTCAAGTATGTTACCTTAAAACAGCAATTTGTAAGAAATTACATTATAATGTAAAATACAAAAGTAAGAAACTGTTTCCTGAACAGACCATTTGTATTTCCTGTAGGAATTTATAAAATCCCAAAATAAATATTATTGGTTGGGATTATCTCCCAAAAAAGATCGCACTAATGGTGAGAGTGTTGATAATATAATCAACTCCTCTGACTGGTAAGTGTCCCTTCTTGTTAAAATTTTATAGTTGGGTTTGAGGAGGGGTATTTTCCTTAGGAGCACTGTAGATTCAAATTAAAACTAGCTTCACTAGAAACTGCATCCTACAAGGACTGTTTTCTCTCATGCTTCTTTGATGATTTTCTGATATAGAAAGTTACCATAAATGTCTTCTCGTAACTTTGACAAGCCACTAACAAACTTACAGTAGCCAAATTATGGGGACTTCTGAAAATAATAAGTTTAAGAAAAATTATGGAACATATTGTGCTAAGTTCTGGGGTTCAAAGATGAGTGAAAGACTGATTCATCACTAAAGTTACTTAACCATTGATTGTGTGTGCAGACTGATTGAATGATGCTAGAGATAAAGAGAATATAGTGTGATAATGCTTCAGCAAGAATACACAGACTAACCAATCATAAATTTTAGCAATGCTGCTTTTGTTATAAATGACACTTGAGCCTTAAAAAAAAGTTTCCGGAACAAGGGGGTACAAGTGCAGTTTTGTTATATAAATATATTCCATAGTGATGAAGTCTGTGTTTTCAGTGTAACCATTACCTGGATAGTGTACACTTTACCCTATAGGTGATTTCTCCTTTATTTTCCTCCCACCCTCCTACTTTGTGGAGTCTTCAATGTCCATTATTCCACTTTTTATGTCTATATGTACATATTATTTATCTCCCACTTAAATGAGAACAAACAGTATTTAAATTTATGTCTCTGAGTTATTTCGCTTACGAGAATACTCTCCAGCTCTATCCATTTGGCTGCAAAAGACATGATTTTCTTCTTTTTTGTAGTTGAGTAGTATTTCATGGAGTATATACCCTGAAAGAAAACATAATCTGCTGATGGAAACAGGTCATTTTTATGACTTTGCTATTGTGAATAGTGCTACAATAAACATAGGAGTGTAGATGTCTTTCTCTTAATATAATAATTTATTTTCCTTTGGGTAAATACCCCAAGAGTGGAATTACAGGATGGTAATTCCATTTTTAGTTATTTGAGAAATTGCTATAGCACTAACTTATATTCTGAAATGGGCATTTTTGAATGAAACATTTAAAGACTGGTTTAGAAGAGCATATCAGGTCAAAGAATAAACCTTAGCATGATACATTACATATATAGTAGAGATAAATTAATTTGTTTAGTACAATGAGGAATGTGGTTATATGCTATTTTAAGTGGGTTTATGTGTTGTATTTGTTCTGCTTATAATGAGAAAAAAAATAAGTCTTTACATAAAAATGGTGGCTCACGTCTGTAATCCCAGTATTTTGGGAGGCCAAGGAGGGCGAATCATGAAGTCAGGAGTTCGAGACCAGCCTGACCAACATGGTGAAACCCCGTCTCTACTAAAAATAGAAAAATTAGCAGGACGTGGTGGCAGGCACCTGTAATTCCAGCTACTCAGGAGGCTGAGGCTTGAACCCAGGAGGCAGAGATTGCAGTGAGCCAAGATGGCATCGCTGCACTCCAGCCTGGATGACAGAGGGAGACTCTGTCTCAATTATTAATAATAGCAATAATAATAAAATAGTGACAAATTTCATTTGTACTTTTTAATCTTTAAGATTTGGGAAGCAGACAATATCAGACAAAGAAAGAAACCAGAGTCTCAACCTGCTGGACACTGTTGGAAGTTCATCTTTTTCTTTTTTGATACGGAGTTTTGCTCTTGTTGCCCAGGCTGGAGTGCAGTGGCGCAATCTCGGCTCACTGCAACCTCTGCTTCCCAGGTTCAATTGATTTTCCTGCCTAAGCCTTCTGAGTAGCTGGGATTACAGGCATGTGCCACCACACGCGGCTAATTTTTGTATTTTTAGTAGAGACGGGGTTTCTCCATGTTGGACAGACTGGTTTCGAACTCTTTACCTCGCGATCTGCCTGCCTCGGCCTCCCAAAGTGCTGGGATTACAGTCGTGAGCCACCACATCCTGCCGGAAGTTCATCACTTAACACGTGTTTTTTAGTGTATATTTTTAGACGGAGATAGCTCTGAGTCAACTGTGTTGAGGTGCCCCACACTGAGTTTAGGCACTGTGATCCCTGCGTACTCATCACATAGGGCCATAATGGCAAACAGAATTTTTTGTTTTGTTTGTTTGCTTTTTCTTTCAGATAGAAATAGTAAGTGTAGGAGTGTGGGTCAGAAAGACAAGGTGGCCCCATCTCTGGTGGTTGGCAATGATAGGATAGAATGGAGATAAGCTATCTCCAAATGGTAGGAGAAGGACATATATTTTAAAGATCTCGTTTGGAGTGAAGGACTAGAACAAAGGTAATGTGTGTGTCAGGAGAGAGTACAGATGGAATCTTGTTTTGAAAATATAGAAAATGTATGTGTTTGTAATCGTTGAAAATGCAATTGTAATCTATAACGGAATGGAAAACAGTAGATATTTTCAATTATCAAAAGGAAAACTGAAAAAAGTCTATAATAATTGTATGCATGACATGTATGTACATAAATATCTTATTTTCATTTTTTAACTCTGTATTGTTTTAGGGTTTGTTTCTGAAAGGGGGCAGTAATAATTGACATTTGTACTATGTCACCACAAATAAATCTCATTCTTAAAAATTTAATTGATGAAGTTATTTACTGGTTGATATTTTACCCAAGTGTGGATACTAAATTAATCTAAAAGATAATATTTTTAATTTATAAATTTGTTTTTAACGTATAATACCTGATCATTAATCTAGTATTGATGGGCTGGTATTAGAACTTCGGAGTAAAATCTTATGGAAGCGTCACTTGGAGATGATGTTGAACTTAAGGCGTCATACCTTAGGTGAATTCCTGGACTCTGATGATTATGAAAAGCACTTGAGGAAGACAGGGTCCAAGACTTACTACTGGGTCAGTTAGACTAGAAAGTCTTCGGAAATGGCATTATTCCAAAGTATATTATATATGAAGGGGGTGGGGTGCTAAGTCTGTAAGTAAAGGGCAGCAAATATCAGATGCTAAAAAGTGGAAAAAGCAGGGGGAAATGAAGCAGTGTTTGACATTGCATATGTGTCAATATAAAGAATCAGCTTGGACACTTTTGATACTCTGAACATTAAATTAGATTTAGTTTAAACAATGCAGAGTCTAGGGCAATATTATCATGTTGGAAATGTAATGTTTTTTCTGTGAATATGTTTCAAATATCTGACTTGCCAAGTGTAATTCATTACTTTCTCTTTCAGGGTTATAACAAATGCACCTGACTTAACGAACATGTATTGTGGATATATAGGTGGACTATATGTTAATTATTATGACTGCACTTATGAACAAAGAAGGATATGTGAGAAGATGGCCAATCCAGTGCAGCTTGGTTTTATACATTTTAGGGAGGCATCAGGCATCAATTAAATACATTTAAGAAGTGCAGGCTGGGTGCAGTGGCTCACCCCTGTAATCCCAGCACTTTGGGAGGCTGAGGAGGATGGATCACAAGAGGTCAGGAGTTTAAGACGTGGAACTCCATCTCTAAAAATCAAAAATAATAAATAATATGAAATAAAAAAATTCAGAAGTGTAGTTGATGGCAGGGAGGTGGGAGCGTTCCAGGCTATAGGTAAATTTAAACATTTTCTGGTTAACAGTTGGTTGAGTTTGTCTAAAGACCTGGGATTTCATCATGCAGGTGAAACATCTAGGTAGAAGGCTTCAGATAGAATAGATTGTGAATGTTAATGCCGGAGAGGTATAATGAAGCATGTCCGACGTCCCACTTCTCATCATGGCCTGATCTAGTCTTTCAGGTGAATTTTAAAAGAGTCCTGGTTGAAGAGGAAGTCCATTCAGATGGTTGGAGGGGAGCGGCTTAGAATTGTACTTTTCATTTACATTCGTCCCCTCTGGTCAAGATTTGTCAGAGGCAACATCAAAGACCAGCACATTTTAATTTTGTCCCATAGCATTGCCAGGATGGCATGGCTGCCTGTCCCAGGTCCGTCCTGTACTTCCACAGGACTCTGTGGCTGAAGGTCTTATGAGTCAAAGGACTTATAGCCAATTGATTGTTTTAGACCAGATAAGAATGGATGTGAACAGGCATTAATTACCTCTTAAAATTATTATTTTGTGTAAAAGCCAATAAACAAAAATGAAAAGGCAAAGTTATAAGACTGACTTATTTTTAACTTCTGTGTGTTGAGCTACTATAAGCTTGGTTTTTGTTACAGACATACAGCAATTAGCTAAGCAAACATAAGCATTGTTCTGAAAAAAATTAAATATATATATATGTTTATCTTCATAACTCACAACTGGGAGTATTATACCCAAGAGGTTTTGTTACAAGGTATCTTTTATTATTATTATACTTGAAGTTCTGGGATACATGTGAAGAATGTGCAGATTTGTTTCATAGGTGTATACGTGCCATGGTGGTTTGCTGCACCCATCAACCCATCATCTACATTTCTCCTTATGATATTCCTTCCTTAGACCCCCAACCCTCAATAGGTCCTGGTGTGTGATGTTTCCCTCCCTGTGTCCATGTGTTCTCATTGTTCAACTCCCACTTATGAGTGAGAACATGCAGTGTTTGGTTTTCTGTACCTATGTTAATTTACCTTTTCTAGTGAAAAAGGGTTTAGGTTCCCAGCAGGGAGCTGCATCTGTAAGACCTATGAGGGACAGCAAATATGATAAGCCTTCTTAAACAGTCCTACAATTCTGTGGGAGGGGCGCCAATGTAAAAGGGGATCCCTTAACCCCAAAATTTACCATGACCTGGGTAATAGGAACATTTGCTAAGAGGATATTCCAGTTATAAAACCAGCCCAATATGGCTTGCATGTGAAGCATATTAATCACCTCATCTGGGGTGATTCACTTGGTATTTTATAGGGAAAGTCGGGCAGTCCCCTTCTGATATGGTTTGGTTATTTTAACAAGGCTTTAACTAAAATAGCATATTTTTAGGTAAATTTCTGGCAAGGTCAACTTCAAGAAGCCTATATGGCCAATCAATTC